GGAAGGCCTGGACTCCGATTGGGTAGATCCAGGGGAGGAGACGGGGGCAGGTCTTGAGAGCGTTATCTGGGAAGAGTTTGACTCTGTGGCTCCTGAGGACGTGGACAGGATTCTGGGCAAGCTTAACGCTGCCACATGTTTATTGGACCCGTGTCCCTCCTGGTTGGTACTGGCCTCCCGGGAGGTTACACGAGGCTGGCTCCAGGGGATTATAAATGCTTCTCTGAGTGAGGGTGTCTTTCCCGCCGCCTTGAAAGAGGCGGTTGTGAAGCCCCTCCTCAAGAAGCCTTCCCTGGACCCGGCTATATTATCAAATTATCGTCCAGTCTCCAATCTTTGCTTTGTTGCGAAGGTTGTTGAGAGTGTGGTGGCGCGACAACTACCCCGATACCTGGATGAAGTTGTCTATCTGGATCCGTTCCAGTCGGGCTTCAGGTCACGATACAGCACAGAAACGGCATTGGTCGCATTGGTGGATGATCTCTGGAGGGCTCGGGACAGAGGTTGCTCCTCTATCCTGGTCCTATTAGATCTCTCAGCAGCTTTTGATACCATCGACCATGGTATCTTACTGCACCGGCTGGAGGGGTTAGGAATAGGGGGCACCGTGCTTCGGTGGTTCTCCTCCTTCCTCTCTGACCGTTCGCAGTTTGTGTTGGCAGGGGGGCAGAGGTCGACCTCGAGGCACCTTATTTGTGGGGTGCCGCAAGGGTCAGTCCTCTCACCCCTTCTGTTCAACATTTATGTAAAACCGCTAGGTGAGATCATCCGTGCTTTTGGGGTGAGTGTTCATCAGTATGCTGATGACACACAGCTATACATCTCCACCCCAGACCACCCCAATGATGCCCTTGCTGTGATGTCCCGTTGCCTGGAGGCCGTGCGGATCTGGATGGGGAGAAACAAGCTCAGACTCAACCCCTCCAAGACCGAGTGGCTGTGGCTTCCGGCGTCCCGGTATAGTCAGCTGGTACCATAACTGACAATAGGGGATGAGATCTTGCTCCCCACAGAGAGGGCCCGCAACTTGGGTGTCCTCCTGGATTCACGGTTATCTTTAGAAGATCATTTGACGGCCGTGGCCAGGGGTGCCTTTTATCAGGTTCGCCTGATCCGCCAGTTGCGTCCCTTTCTGGATCGGGATGCCTTGCGCACGGTCACTCATGCCCTAGTTACCTCCCGTATGGACTACTGTAATGCTCTCTACATGGGGCTCCCCTTGAAAAGCACCCGGAGGCTCCAACTGGTCCAGAACGTAGCCGCGTGGGTGATTATGGGCGCAGCTCGTTACTCCCATGTAACACCTCTCCTACGCGAGCTGCACTGGCTCCCAGTGGTCTTCCGGGTGCGATTCAAGGTGTTAGTTATCACCTTTAAAGCGCTCCATGGCTTAGGACCTGGGTACCTACGAGACCGTCTTTTGCCACCAATAGCCTCCCACCGACCAGTTCGTTCTCACAGGGAGGGACTACTCAGGGTACCGTCAGTCAAATTATGTCGACTGGCGACTCCCAGGGGGAGGGCCTTCTCTGTGGGGGCTCCAACCCTTTGGAATGAACTGCCCCCGGAGATACGGAATATCCCTGATCTCCGTGCTTTCCGCCGTGCCCTCAAGACCCTGATGTTCCAACAGGCAGGGCTAAACATACAAACATGCAAATGATTTTTTAAATGTTATCTAATTCTGGGTTTTATTTAATTGACCAAACTAAGTAACAATTTTAATTAGCAATTTTATGATGTTTGTGTGTCTATATTTTTCTTGACTGTACACCGCCTTGAGTCCTACGGGAGAAAGGCGGTATAGAAATATAATAAATAAATAAATAAATAAATAAATAAATAAATAAATAAATAAATAATTCTCCTGTAGTCTCCCTCCCAGATTATCATTGGGTGCCATTTATCCAGCCAAGCGAGACCCAGGATTACTGATTGCGCCATTTTTGACACTACAATAAACTGGATTAGTTCCCAGTGCTTCCCCATAGTCAGTTTTAATTTTTCGGTTATGTGCGTGGCCAGACTTCCCCCTATCATGGATCCATTTACTTGTTGGAATCAAATGGGGTTTGTTAGCACTTTTGTTTCTATACCTAGGCTGCATACAGAATCACGGCTAATGAGACATTGAGAGCTGCCAGCATCTATAATAATGTCTATGGGCCCTTCTACACCTGTGTGTGTCACAGTCAAAGTTCCTTTTATTTTAAAGGGTCAGATGGCTTCACTTACCATCGGGTCATCTTCTTCACTGTCTGCATCCTGTACAATGGGTAATCCGGCTACCAGAGTTCCCTTCCTTGTGGTTTGTTGGGGGTTAGGGACCTTGATGGCTTGGCATGCAAATTTACTTTTCTACAGTGGTTTTCTCAGTGCCTTCTTTCCTTTTGGGGGAGCGGGTGCTCTCACTTGAGATGCCAGAGCCAGTGACAAGCACTCTGAGACACGGTGTCCTTGCTGGCTGCAGCGGAAGAACTTTACAGAAGTCGGGGCAGCTGCTGTTTTCGTTCTTCGCTTTGGCAGGGTGCGGAGTGGCACGTGAGTTGTCTTCTGGGTTGTCTTTCAGTGTTGCTTCTCCAGTGCTGTCTAAGCACTTTGTCCATTGCAGTGGCCACTCGATACCACTCAAGGATTCTGTCATCTGGCAATCCACGGCAAAGGCAGATTTTTAGCAGCTCTTCATCCAGGCTTTCTTTGAAATAGTGGACCAGTATTCTCTCTGACCAGTGTCTCGGACTAGTAGCCAGTCGTCTGAACCCAAGCACTAGTTCTTTGGCAGATCTCCCCTTCTGCCTAATGCTTTTGATCTCTGCTCTTCCTCTTGTGCTCAGCAAGAATCCTCAAAATTGGCCCAGAGCTCTCTCAGGAAGTCATCCATGTTGTTTAGTTCAGGTGCGCCTTCATCATGGAGCTGGGTGAACCATTCGGATGCCTCATTCTCCAAATTGTCCCCCATGGCTTGGACGAGCTGCATGTTGTGAGATTCATCTCCATGCTAGTTGATGTAGGACCATGCTCGATTCAGAAAAAACGTTAGTTTTCCTGCGGTTCCATCAAATATGGTTTTGAAAGGCATCAGGGCATTTGCATGCGGACCAGGCTGTGGCAGCGGCAGTGGGGTTGGAGCTCGGGCTGGCATCAGCTGAGCCTGGTTTTGAACCCATCCTCTGCCCATATAGAACACCCATCCTGGAGGGATCTGGTCCACCAGAGGAACGTGCAGAGGGGGAGAGGACTGGTTGCTCAATGGGTTCTTTGAGGGCTTCCCCTTCTTCTCACTCCATTGCATTCTCTTCTTGGGGGTGAACAGTGCAATGGTGGGAGGTCTCCAGCGGTGGTAGATCACCATCTTCTCAGGAGAGATAGGTCTCTCAACAGCTGATACTGAAAGTTGATGGACTGGAGGTGCATGTTGTTCGGCCTTTCCTAGAAGGCACTTGTCTCCCTTGCAGATCTCTGCCTTCGTGTCCAATGACGGGTTGCTCCAGCTGGTCAGGTAGTTCTTCGAAGGTCTGGCTGCACATCGCCATTTGGTATTGCCATTCAGCCAGTTCGTTGATATCTACCATGAGTTCTATGGGTCCAGCAGCTGCTCTCCACTCCAAAATCATAGCTCAGGATTCTCAGGCCGCTATTAATGGGCGATCAATGAGTGGGTCCAGAAAGGTTGCTTGACCGAGAAGGTCCCTCTCCATCCGCTGGATCCCTGAGCTTGTGGACCATTTAACTGGGGATTTCAGATGGGCTCCCATCTGGCGTGTGATATCCTCCATGACTGCCATCACTCGGATCGTTTCCTGAGGACCTGGTAGCTGGACTGGCAAGCCCAGACAGGGGCCTCCGCAGAATTTACATTCAGGTTCAGGCATCCCTGGTTGTCATCCTTCTGCCATTTTCCCTGAGTCTTTGCTGTTGCCCAGTAGGAGTGCTCTGGGTAAACAGCCAGGGCTCAGGACCCTGGATAGCAATCCCTGCTCAGGATCAGTTTATAGAGATCCAGAATAATGTCAGGTCTCCAAGTGATGAAACCCATTCAAAAAAGAAATATGCAAAGTTCATCTTCCAAAACAAATTTCTTTATTTAGGTAGGCATCGAATTGGCAAAGATTGTTATAATTCTGGATCTGATAGAAACTGGAATTACACCACGTAATATTGAAAATTAGAAACATCCCACGAAAGTCATATTTCCCAATCAAAGTAAAATGCACATTGCCTGATGTCATCAAACTCCTCCTTTAGCTCTCAGCATGGACAGCCTCCGTTCCCATAGGAAAGAAGATCACCTAGTCAAAACAAGGCTCACTATCTATTCCCTCCTCCCATCTTAAGAACGTGGCAAGCCCGAAAAATCCCCCTTACAAAACAGAGAGAAACAAAAGGAATAAATGAGTATAATATAAAGCTAACTAAAATGGCTACACATATGTTAATTTCGGGTTTGACACATACCTTGCTTCACTGGCATTCTGCCATAAAACTCAGGGGAGGGAGGAGGAGGATGGGGAAGTAGGGATGGGCAGAGGGAGGAAGGGAGGGAATGACAGGCTTTGTGTGGGAATATTCAGATCCGGCTTTGCTTATGCTGTAACCAATTGAACTTACTAAAAGTGAACCTTTCACTTCAACCATGGAGTTGAGGGTCTTTCTTTCCTAAGTGCCTAAGCTGGAACAAGCCTGACACTAATTTAACAACTGCAGTAATTCACTTAATACCTGTAAAAAAAAGGTCATTAAATGGGGCAAAATTCACTTAACAAACATCTAACTTAGCAACAGAAATATTGGGCTCAATTGTGGTCGTAAATTGAGGACTACCTGTCCTACATCTCTAAGGTCCTTTCCAATATTATTATTTATCTAATTCTATATTCTAAATTAAAGTGGCAGATTTAATTTAAAGTGGCAGGTTGCATCTTGACTGTTAATAGAAAGAAGTACAAGTATTAAACTGGATTCTTCATCAACGCTGTACATTATTTCTTCTACTTACTAACCTGTACTGGATTTGGCAGTTTCCTGTCCAATTGTTTGGCCTAAGAGATCATACTGATTCAACCTTGAACCATCTGGAGCTACTTCTACAGAATCTGATGCATTGAGCGTCCACTTGTAGGTTACTTCTGCTGTAGTATATGCATCTAGCAAGGACAAAAAGAAGAGTAATTCAGAATATTTGAGTATTAAATAATTTCAAGTATGAATTAAATATTTAAATCTCTAAATAATGATAGGGACATTTAAGCAGAGGGTATTTCACAATATAACCAAATATGAAAAAGATGCACAACCAAAAATGAATTATTTCCCCAAATTAATTCATTTCAATTCTTGTATGTCTGACAAAGACACTAATTTCTTCTTTTAATGACACTTTCCTGTTTTCAGACCCTAACCACTTATCTGTTCCTTAAAAAAAAAAAAAAAGTTAACCTGTTCTGTTTCATCTCTGAAATGTTATCAAACCATTTAAACTAAGTCACACCTCTACCATACTATATATAACCAGAATTTAACAGTTATGTTATCAGCTTAATTTTTCAGAGTGAAACAGTCATCAAAACTATGAATATAAACATGCAGATGATTTATTATCTTAATTGAATGCTTCAAACCTGCAGATGGGGAGGGAGAAGAATCCACGCTAGCATAGCTAAAAACATAGCAAGATTATACTATGCAGTGTATTTGATGTATAGAATTAATTTCATATCTATTCAGATATCCATATGTAGCTCCTGCTCAAGTAGGAGACCCTACACCATTTTGGACAAGTGACTGTCCAGTCTCTTCTTAAAAACTCCAGTGATGAAGCATCCACAACTTCTGAATGCAAGCTGTTCCACTGGTCAATTGTCCTCATTATTAGGATGTTTCTCCTTAATTGTTGGGTTGCTTCTCTCCTTGATTAGTTTCCATCCATTGTTTCTTGTCCTGCCCTCCAGTGCTTTGGAAAATAAATTGACCCCCTACTCTTTGTGGCAGCCTCTCAAATACTGGAATACTGCTATCATATCTCCCCTAGTCTTTTTCTTTAGATTAGCCAAACTCAAATCCTGCAACTGTTCTTCATATGTTTTAGTTTCCAGGGCATTAATCATCTTAGTTGTTTTTCTTTGCACTTTTTCCAAACTCTCATCATCTTTTTATAATCGGATGCCATATTCCAGGTGTGGTTTTACTAAGGCTTTATAAAGCGGTACTAATACTTCACATGATTTTGATTCTATGCCTCTATTTATACAACCAAGAATTTCATTAGCTTTTTTGGTTGCAAGCTGCTGACTCATGTTTAAGTGATTGTCCACTAGGACTCCAAGGTTCCTCTTACAGTTACTGTTTTTGAGCCAGGTTTCACCTAATCTGTACTTATATTTTTGATTTTTCCTGCCCAGGTATATAACTTTGCTTTTCTCCACATTAAATTTCATTTTGTTGGATAGGGCCCATTATTCAAGTTTATCAAGATCTTTTTGGATCCTGAGCTTGTCTTCTGGGGTGTTGCTAGTCCTGCCAGCTTAATGTCATCTGCAAATCTGATGAGTTCCCCTTCTATTCCCTCATCTAAGTCATTTTTGAAGATATTGAATGTTCTGGACCTAAGGCAGAACCTTGTGGTACCTCACTGCTTATGTCAGCACTTCAAGCTTCATTTACTCTAGTGCTGACATAAGAAGGAGAAGCGGAGGTGTCTGGAAAGGGACATTTGACTTTTCACCTACTTATTTTCCCTGGAAATAATATCCCCTAGGAGATGAGATGGGAGGGGGGAAATTCCTTTGAGCTGGAGCGGTAGATTAGGGGTAGAATGACTTGGAAGATGCCAATGAGTGCAGGGGAGTGGGGAACGGAAAGGGAGGGTTTTGGGTCTGGAAGTCAGTGTTGGCTACGATGAGCCAGGATCTAGAATGTCGTGCTCAATAAATGGGAGTTTTTATCAAAGACTTTGTTTGAAATGCAATTTATTTGAGATGACCTCGAAACTTGACAGCTTACTTCCCTCCATGTAGGCGTAGACCCATTAAGGACTAATCGTTGAGTACGATTTGTCAGCCAGTTACAAATCCATCTGATGGTGATGTTGTCTATCCCACATATCCCAAGAAGTAGGTTGTGGTCTATTTTGTCAAATGCCTTGCTGAAGTCTAAGTATATTATGTCCATAGCATTTCTCTGATTTTCTAATTTAGTCACTTTGTCAAAGAATGAAATAAGATTGGTTTAAGATTAATTAAGATTAATTAAGATTAATCTGTTTTTAACAAACTCATGCTGACTACTAGTTATAACTTTATTTGTTTCTAGATGTTCACAGATCTGTTTCTTGATTATTTTTTCCAGAATCTTCCCAGGTATTGATGTTAGACTGCAATTCTTAACTTCCAAGTGCTTCAGTGACCCTCTAAAAGGATGCAGATGACCAGCTGTCTGCAAGGAATATAAATCCTTCCATTCCCCACTATCCTGTCAGAGCTGAAGAAGTTTTTTGGATGCGAAGCAAAAGGTCTTCAAAGAAAAAACAAGAAAGTCCAGTTGCCTCCTGAAAAAAGCACCTTTGGGACATATATGCAGAAATAAACTTTTTTTTATTATCTTAGACTTTTGTTGCAAGTCTTGGTTCATTCTGAGCATTTGCTTTCCTGACTTCATTTTTGCAGATTTGGCCTATCTGCTGATATTCTGCCTTAGTTATATGTCCCTCTTTCCATTTTTTGTACTTATCCATTTTGTCTTTCAGTTTATCAGAGATCTTTGTGCAACCAGGCTGTTTTCTTCTTGGATTTCAATTTGTTTCAATATAATAAAAATACCTGTTGCATCTTGTGCAAAGTTCTGAAGCTGGCATGTCCAAGCTTTCTGTGCAAGACATGAATGCATGAATCATGTTGTGCCACATTTCCAAATGTTTGGCACATTGAATCCTTTGTCCCTGCAACACATAAAGATTATCCTGTTTTATGCCCTGTGCACATACACTCCATTTCTTTTCATGAGACATCTTCCATCTACAAATGTGATCTCAAACCCTGTTTGTCTAGATTGGAGACATGCAGTAAATTATGTTCCATTTCAGGAACACATAATATATTATTAAATTTTCCTCTGGACATGGAATCAGCCCACTGCCTTTTCCTATGACTTTAGTTTTCTGGCGATTTGCTACTGCATCTCCTCCAGCTGAATCCAATCTGAAAAACAATTTAGAATTATTAGCCCCACTATCTATTAACCATTTGTCTCTGCTATTACAATAGCTAAGTTTTGCAACAACAGGTTGTCCATTTGTTTGTTTTCTTCCTTGTAAACAGACTTTCTTTAAATGAGCTTTATCCCCACAGATAAAACATCTCCATTTTTCCTGTTCTGTTCTTTCTTCTTGGGAATTCTTTGCTGGGATGTAATCCGATCTCTTCTGCTGCTCTGTTCTCTGCAGAATCCAGTCTGTTGCTTTGCTCTCTCTGCTCCTTGGACCCCCACAGGAATTTCTCCTTGTGGTTTCTTCCAAAATGGTGTTTTTTTTCTTCAGAAATCAAACAGACTTTAAGGGCTTCCATATGTAATTCCTGTTCTGGTTAACATTCAAAAACGGCTGAAACGATGTCCCACATTTCATCAAGACTATTTAATACCAACAGCACTTTCTGAGATTCAGGAATTTGCATTCCATGCTGTTCTAATTCAACAAACAGTGTCTGCATGTGCAGCAGATGCTTTTCTACCCTCTCTTGTTGCAGCAGTCAGGCTCTGTACAATTGTCTCGATAATTGCACAATATTGCATGCTGATGCACTCACAGGCACACTTTTCAATTTGAGCCAAACTTTCTTTGCAGTTTTTAAATCAGCTACATTTAAGAATTGTTCATCTTCCAAACTTAAAATGATGTAAGCCAGTGCCTTATCATGCTGCCATTGATCTGCAGCTGCTAATGGCCCCTGGGATGGATTAATGATGATATCCCAGAGCTCCTTAGCCTTCAGGAAGCATTCCATTTTTACAGCCCAAATAAGATAATTCTTCTGTCCCAATTGAGGCTCTCCTTAAAATCAACAACCAACCTGCAAGCCTTCTCTGTCTTGTTTCCTTTTGTTTATAACACAGGCAGTCTCTCGGCTTGATTACAGTTCCGTGTTGAGCCTCAATCCTTTTTCTTCAGTTTGATTGTGTGCATGGGCTGGCTGGCTGGGATCTGGTGGACCCACAACCTGTTGGTTTTATCTGAGAATCATCCAGCACATTTTCAAAGAATTGAACAGGATTCATAATATAGAAAAAAGTCTTGATGTTCAAAATCCAAAAAATGATACAAACAATACCCATGCATCTCTTGCAACATGGTAAAGAGAAGAACGAACTCTGAACACAAAATGGCTAAGCCACACCCAAACTAAAGCCGTCTCACATGGTTCTCACAGCAAATCCTGTGTCTCAATCAAAAAAGTTCCCATTGACTGGATCATTGCCGTGGGTATTTCAGTTCATAAATTCTTTATACACTGACGTGGTGTATCATCTGCAAACTTCAATACTTTAACAAAGGGATCTTTTTAGATGCAGTTATTAGTATAGAGAGAAAAGAGTAATGGAGAGAGCACACAGACTTGGGATGCACCTATGCTAATTGTACAGGCATCTGATGTAATTTTGCCTAGCTTCCCCTGCTGCTTCCTATCTATTAGAAAGCTTATGTTCCATTTACAAGTGTGGTCAGGCACAGCTAGCTGAGTCAGTTTAGCAAGAAGAATATCTGGAATGATGGTATTGAATGCCGAGCTGAAGTGTATAAAAAAACCCTGCTGAAGCAGGAGACCCCACACCATTTCTGACATATGGCAGTCCAGTCTCTTCTTGAAAACTTCCAGTGATGAAACTCCCATAACTTCTGAATGCAAGCTGTTCCATTGGCTGACTATTCTCACTGTCAGAAAATTTCTCCTTATTTCTAGGTTGAATCTCTCCTATGTTTCTTCTAATTTCTGAATCTGCATTATAACATTTGCCACCAAAACTCTTTTGACAGAAACTGAAGATAGTGAAAAAGTGTTTTTAATACTACTGTAAATAAAGTGCAGCTACAATAACCATCCAAAGCCTACTTCTACTGACATATATTTCATTTCATACGTAGGTATATAAAAAG